CGAGTTAAAAGTCCTTTCTGCTCAGCTAGCGGCTACCTGAGTCCTGTGAGCAAAGTTGAAAGGGGGTTAAAGAAGAGTGGGCAGGTTGAGCAAGTAGAGAGCTTGAAAGTGGCAACAGTTAGTCAAGTCCGGATCACAAGGAACTGTTCATTAAACCAGCAAAGCTGGCAGCACCATCTTATTTAAGAAAACTTCAGGTCATCTTTAAAATAAAAAACAGTGGCCAACTGCGAGAAAAGCGGTTAAAAACCCACAGTAGGAGAGTGGTAAAAACCTGTGGTAGTCCCAGGGGGAGAATGGAGAAACAATGCTACAAACTGGCATCTCAGACTCAACCTGAACATGTTTGTGACTCTCTGTTTGGGGAGACTGGGGAAAAGCGGATGCTTCTCTGATGTGTAGTTGGGCAGAAGGTTGGCAGAAGTACTGGTGGCAGGTCCTTCCATTTCTGTCCAGTTGAGTAGTCTTGCTATTCCTCTATCACACTTACTGAAGTGTGACAGTGGATTCAAATGTTACTGCTGGGAATGAACTGACACAGACACAAGTGTGGAACATATAATGTGGGCCTCCTTCCCTTACAAATTCAGCCTAAAAAAACCCAACACAACCCTTCATTTTATTTGGTAACTACTGCAACCTGGGCAGTTCTTCTGCACTAGAGGAGGGGGTTGAGGGGAGAGAAAGTGAGAGAGAGAGATGGTGCAGGGCTCTTTCTGGATCTCAGTAAGAAAAGCCCAGCAACAAACAGCTTAACGACTGCTTTAATAAGACAGAATAAGATGTGGAATACAGACAGCAAGTAAATCCTTCAGACGCTGAGCACCCCACATTCATGTAGCATCAGACAGAGCTTAGATGGATTTTTCCCATGGTGTGCTGTGCAGAGCAGATGCAACCCCGTCCAGAGAGGGCAGCTCTCCTTTTTTTATCACTTGAGCTATTTTATAATTCCCTTAACAAGAAAACAACTCTCTTTCTAAAGGATGGCCTCATGAGAACTTGTTGCTGCTCTGTCAGATAAAGGCAAGGCCAGGCAGGTGGTGCAATCGCGGTATCGAGTGGGAGCTGCCTGCAAGCTCTGCTGTTAGGATGAGCTGGTGGAGGTGTCCTGTGGCCAAAGGGTCCATGCAACTCAATGGAAACCTGAAAGCCACTCTAGGTGTGCAGCCCAGCCCAGCTCGAAGCTGCTGTGTGGATCACTGACTCCTAAACATTCCAGGGTCCCTTGGTCAGGATCAATGCAGCAGCTCAGGAAAAGCCTCCTCCGGTCCAATTTCTCAGCCTTGGAGAACAGTTTGGCACAGGAGCCTGAGACGCTGAAACTGCTGGCTCCACAGTCTGTTTGCTTTCAAAACCAACATGGGGCTGAAGCTGGCCACAGTCATGGGTTGGCGTATGAAAGATCAGGCATTGCTTTGGTACCATCAGTCAAATGTTCAAGGGCTGTCACTTTGCAAACACTTCCAGGCTTCCTTGACTACCCTGAACAATGCAGCCAGAACCTGCAGCTCTGGGGCACAGCTGGTTTTTGGAGTTGGGTTTTAGGACTTAATGTGCAAGTCACACCCAGAAGGGCTCTGGGTAGCTGTTTCATCATTGTAACATAATGAAAAAGATAGAAAGAACTCAAATAAAAAATGTTTGGAGTGGTTTTGTTAGATTCCCTTTGAACAAGGAACCAGGTGGCAACAAACTGTAACACTGAGTGGTCACCAGTGTATACCTTTAAAGCAAATCTTTCCTAGCATGCTCTGCTCCCTTTACATAGGGCCACACCAGGGTATTGCAGGCTTTATTAGTAACCTGGCTTCTGGCTGTTTCACCATGTGGTGAGTACTTACCTCCTTCTTCCAGACTTACTTTCCCTAGTTTCCACAGGATATGCTGTGTTGCTGCTCACAGACAGCTTTTTGTGTAAGGAGATGTGTCTTAGTTTGGCTTTTCAAGTGCAAGAAACTTACACTGGATATGGGAGTGTAGTAAATCTGGAGTTACTGCTCTTCCTAGAGCCTGTCTGTGAACTGAATGTGTGGAATGGGGATGAGGTAGTGGTTAAATGGCTTTGGTTTCAAGAAGTGATCTCATTGCATAAAAGTCTTATCTATCTATGTGAATGCAGCTTTAGTCTTTGAAATGCAATTATTTTTTGGTTTTTGTTTTGGATTACTTAATTTTGGATGCATTCTTCTAAGACAAAATGATAGACAAGCCCTTGTAAGTTGCTCAAGGAATGTTTCATTGTCAGTCCTGATCTACATAAGCTTGATCCACAAGTAAAACTGTTTTATGCACAGGTACTGGGGCAAGAGCATTAGGGTATGGTAAATGGGGTAACACGAAGGACATGAGCATCAGTTTCTAATACAGTCTTTTGTGTGTGAAGATGTATTCTGCTTGTAAGAGTGTATTTGTATCTCCCAATGAGATAAAGACCTTATAAATTAGGTTAAGTAACTTTTAAGCATCAAGAGTTTGTGAAATACACCATTCTAATTTGATGTTTAGATACATATATAATGGGATGGCTTACCTGAAAACTTAAACTTTGGATAGTGTTCAATGTGCTGTTCTGAAAGCTGTCTGGCCAGCATCTGATACATACTTGCAACTGGTATGTTGTCCTAGAGAATATAGTAATGTAAAATAAATCCAAAATGAATGTTTTATCCATCTCAAAACAGACTACATCCAAACGCTTGACTGCCTAACTGAAGTCAAGCATAAATGTTCACCTGATTTAAACACAGGGACTGAAAATTGAATATCTTGCAAAATGTACATAAGTGGTTGTAGAAATTAAGTGGCTAATTTCTTCAGCTACTTTTGAAATTTGAGTATGAATTACAAGAGCTCATCTTTTAATGCAAACTTTCCTATCTACCTCACATAGTAAACAGTGATTTCATGATCCAGAATGCATTAAAAAAAAACCCTCAGCATGTGCACTAAACAGTAGTAAGTAACCAAGCTCAGAGTTTAGTATGCCATTAGATCATCTGAAGCCGCAGATCACAATAGAGAAATGTTCTATAACTAGACCCGTAGGAACAGAACTGCAGTTAAAAAGTCAGCGATGCAAACTCTTGAGAATAAATCCAAATCAGTGCAAAATGTGTTCCTGTAGGTGGAGGAGGGGAGAAAGGTGGAGAAGGAAGTGGGGGCGGGAGAAACTAACTCCATATTAAACTTTTAAAAAAGTAAACCCAAAACCCAGGTAGTCCCCAGGAATGAAAGCACACAGTAACCTGCCAGCTGCATATAGATGACAAAACCAGTGAGAAACTGCTTGCTCCACTTGAAGGTATGCTTTCCTTTTTTGAAAAGAAGTCACAAGAGGAGCAAGTTGGTGATCTGTACTTATATCCTGGACCCTTTTCAACCCTTGTTAGAAAATGATAAATTATTGAAGCATATTATAAAGTAGCATCTCTATTTGTGTGCTCTGTAGCTTCTGAAGTGCTTAACATGAAAAGGTTAAGTACTGGTTTGCAAAAAAATTTAGAATTATTCCTTAATCTTAAAATAAATAAATAAAAGGAAATTTAAAAAATTGCGACCCATGTTCCCTTGGATAACTGAAATGTTACTATTCCCTGCTTGCATTAGAGCTACTGGCAATTGGAAAGCATTACATTCATACTATTGTTTTGTGTTCATCCATCCATTTTTGTTCCTGGAGGCACTAGAAACTGCCCAAAGCATAAAGCAGGGTTTCATAAAACTCACTTTAAAAAATTGGGTAAATAACCTCACCATGAGGTACATTACCCTAACTTATAACTTTGTCCTGAGCATCAAGAAAACATTCTGAGTACCTGGATGTTAAGTGCAGCAACACTAAGAAATATCTGAATGTTCAGGTTTGGTTTTTTTTTTCTTGGCTGACTGTGTGTAAAAGGAGAAAAGGTATTTTATGAATTGGTATAAGTGTCCATGTAAAACTGAGCTGGATTTACTCATTGACTTTGATTATCTGGGAGCATTGTTGCAAAATATAAACAAACAAGTTCTGACTCTGTTGCCTGCACAGAGGATCCCCCTCCCTGATGCATACCTCATACTATAAGCTTAATGTATTTGTTCTCATTTCTGGCTAGCACATAAAGAAAGAGAATATATAGATGGTACTAGATTGGGGGTGGGGAATGGATGGGAGAAAGAGTGAACTGTCTGAAGAGGATACATGTTTACAAAAGCTTTTAGATTCCTAGTCTGTTTTCGGGAGCAGCTTTAGATATTAGTTAAAATTGCTTTTTATTGAAGAAGTCCATTATGTTTGGTAGAGATGCAGGGAAAAAAGGTACCTGCAAGCTGAGGTAGGGTAGGGGGTACAGAGGCAGGAGGTGAAGCAGCTACTAGCTGTGTTGATACCAACTGAGAGCTTTTCACCTGTGACTGACTTCCTCAGCTGGCACAGAGCTTTCTTTTCACCCTTAGGGCTTTTCTGTTTGATTCAATTCTTTCCCCACCCCTAACTGTTGAAGTGTCACTGTTACATGCCCCAATTCAATCCACAATTCAATATTTTTTGGACAGATGAACTTTTTACCTGATGACTCTTATGAGGTTGGCATTTAAAGCTGACCCTGTATTTTCCAAAGGGACAGGTCATTGTCACTAAAACATCAGCATTTCCCTTCCCAACATCAATTAAACTATTCTTTTGCCATCAATACCAGGCTGTGATTTGCAATTACTCCATGCCTGCTTACCTTCCAATCAGTATTTCTGTAACCATTAGCATAATTAAATGAGCTGTTGCTTTTAATTAGTCTTGCAGCACTATTACATGTTTCTCTTTTATTTTTTTTTCTGTACAGTAGAACAAAGAAATGCTTTGAAACAAAACCATTCAGGAAGTTTACACCTGTTTACATTTATTTAAAAAAATATTTAAACACTTGTGTATTTAACCTGTGGATTATTAACTAGAAATCAAATAGGGCTCATCACTTTGAAGAGGTTCACAAGTACAAAACAGCCTCCTTCTGGCATCTTCACATCCTCCTCTTCTGTGTGCTTATGTACAATACTGTGAAAAGGAGAAAGCAGCACATGTAAGAGAGCCCTGGTAAATAAGGCAGAAACCTGTTTATTTAAAACATCTTATTTCCATGGCTTGTAAAACAACAGCGCAACAAATCCCATTCAGCATGAACAAAGTCAGGAAACTTTTAAGTCCAGGTTTTGAGAAATGCTATCAAATTTACACATTATGTATTACTTTGGAATGGTATTTATTACATTCATAGCCAAACTACCCTGCAGCAGATGCAGGCTGAACAGAGGGAGAGTAAAGCCAGCTTCCCTGCAGCATTACTGACGGGAGCATGAGAGTTTCTAAGCAGCAGAATTATGGGTGTCAGACACTAATGCTATGATCTCTCAACAAAAGCTGGAAATCCCAAGCACTTAAGGCAAAGCTAATGATTACCCATGAAGCAGCAGACACCTTCCACCTGCTTGGCTGGTGATAGCCCTGGAACAGATCCATGCACAATATGAAACTGCATTGTGCTCCTAAACCTGGGATGTCTTAAGTTGTCTGCTCAGACTGTTCTTCAGCCTCCTGCCTCTCATCCATTTGTTTTAACTTTTATAACAGCTTCTTCTTTCCATAATTGATGCTCCAGCTGCAATGTCACTGCACTCCTTAGTATAATAATCTAAATTCCTTGCAAAAAGCATTTGGCCTCATTCAAGATTATTTCTCCTCCCAAAACA